TATCTAAGCCTGAGTAGCCTCTTTCTCCAGCTTCTCAACCTTGGTCTTCAAGTTAGTGTTCTCTTCAGAAACACCTTGGAGTGTGCCAAGGTCCGCCTGTGCCTTCTTAAACGCCTCGTCGTCCTTCTTGAGCGCCTCTTCAGACTTCTTGAGGCTCTCCTCCGCCTTTTTCTAGGCTTTCTCCGCCCCCTTCTGAGCCGACTCAGCGTCGCTCGCCCGCTGGTTGGCCGTCTTCAGACCCGCCTCCACCTGCTGGATTTTTGACGCCTGTGTCATTGTGATTGCTTTAGTTTCAAGTTCATCTACGATAGTGGAGTATAAAGCAACATTATCAGCGTCTGTGGCGGACTTCTTGGCCCTTTTTACCTCTTCCCGTTTGCGGGAATAAGGACGCTTGAGCCCGTCTACCTGCAGCAGAGCCTGCAAAAACAAATCAAGTTAGTATTGCAGGCGGAGTAAAGCACTGGGAAAAAGTTATTAAGTATCTTACCTCATCCACAAGGGACAAGATTCGTTCCAGGTTGAACGTCTCTATCCTAGGGATAGCGTTCTTGTCCTTCCTGCTCACCGCCTCCAGCATGGCTTTAGCATGCTTCTGGACGTCTAGCCAGCGGGGAGATTGATCTGCACCATAATCAATAGGTGATGAGTGCGAAATTAAGGCAGCACCTATCTGTTGCCGACCGTCTGAGGATGACGTCTGTTGGGAGAGGGATTTCACTCGCAAAGGCCACCCCAGATCAGGCGGGGATTTAAATGGGTTCTTACCTTCATAGTCGACCAAGCGGGAGCCACTTGTAGGCGTGGTGAACCCCCCGGTTGCTGATAGGGGGTTGACGAGGTCGAGGCACAGATTCCCGCCTATCCTCTCATTTCGCCCCCCTATCCACATTTGTTGGTTCCCGGCTGAGGCGCCAGGAGTTAAGGCGGAGGCGGATTTTTTGGTCTTGGTAGGGGTGGAGGTGGATTCCTCCCTGGCCCGTTTGAGATCTTTCTCAAACGCCGTTCCTACCTCTCCCCCCTGTGATAATAACCAAGTTAAAGTTAGCATCCGGAGAAAGTAAACTTTGAGGCCAACCTAAGAAAGAGTCAAGCATTTTTTACCTTGGCCCTGACTGCGGCCGCATGTTTTTCCGCAAGCTCCTTGCGGATGGTTGTAGAGGACCGCTTGGGTGTCTTCTCCGTGTGCAACATGCTTAAAGCTTCTTCTGCAAAAAGAAAAAAGTTGATTAGTACATCATCAAGCAATTTCGATACAGAAGTACTGCAGGCGGATGTAAACTCAGGCGCATACGTTTGGTAAACATGTTTCCTAGCCCGCAGGCGGCTAAGAAACACTCGTCCCTGAACCAGGCGCTCTTAGGGATCCAGTACTTGGGGACTTTTATTGTCTCCCCGGTAAATAAGGTTGCGTCTGTGAGGCCGAAAAAATCTGCCTCAATTATTTTGTCGAAGTCCTCATCTGGGATCAGGTCGGGCACTTCCGGCCATCAGGTCCGGCTTCTTATTGTATTGGCGAAACTCGTAGTTTTCCCACTTGCTGGGAGCCGACAACAGGTAGAACCTGTGCTTCCAGCCGTCGAACTTAGAGACCTTGTCCAAGGTCATTATGTATTGGGGATACGTGGTTAAAGTGTACCACGCCCTCCAATCGCCTAGGCTTTGGCTAAGATAATGCATCTTAGCAAAAGCTTCCCAGCCGGGGTGGAGCCCCCAGAGTTCGTAGGCGGCAACATACCCCAAGATGTTTGCCCAAGAATTGGGGGTAAGTTTCCAGACTCCGAGGTCGTAGCCCCTCAAGATTGCCTTCACCGCCTGGTGAAGGGGAAAGCGAAGACCGACCTTGAATGCCGCCTCATAACAGCCGAAGTAGCTATTGGTGTTCTGCTGATCGTCTTCCCAGGCGATGGTGCCATCCTCAGGTGGCACTCTGATCTTGTACCCGTCCCCTAACGGGTGCATTTATTTAAATCTTTTTAAGTTCTCCTCCATGTGACCCCTGTCTTTGGCTGAGACGTGAATTTTGAAGGGGTCGTCCTTCTCACTCCACTTCTTCCTCTCCTCCTCCTCGCTATCCTCAAGCGGTGGCAAGTCGTCACTACTCTCAGAAGTGAAGGCGGAGCTGTCACTCTCCGTCTCCCCCTCATTTTGTGATAAAGGAGCTGAGACGGCTTCATCGCCGTCTTGGTCGCATTCCTCCAAAAAGGAATCTGCGGGAGTCGAAGGGGCACGCGGAGGGGATCTCTCTAGAGCCGTCTGGTTTCTCTGACCATACGCATTTCCCTCAGGCGTTTGGCCGCCTGAGCCCTCGCTTCGGTAATCCGGATCGATAGCCGTCTGCATAGTCTGAGCCATTGTGTCCTGCACAGACACATAAATGGTCAGAATCCAAGCAAAAGGGTGGTCCCAACACCCCGAGACGGCACTCCTAGTCCTAGACTCAGCCGTCCCCGATGACCGGCTGGATTCTAACCTAGGCTGTGCCGTGTGTGTTGGTGATGCATCCATTTATTGCAAGAAATATGTACAAGCGGTGAAACAAGAAAAAGAGCTGAGAGAGGCAGAGACGGTACCTTTAGATTTGATATCTAGACGGGTCCGGCTGGGTTGATGAAGAACGAGTTTTCTCGCTTGCGCTTGACTCAAACGGATGACTTCTGCTCTCTCAAAGTTCCCTCTCTTGAAAATTTTTGTAAACGTACAAAATGATGAGGGTAAACGGCTATATATAGAGGATAAATGCGGGGGCATTCCCGTAATTTACTCGGAAGGTGAACGGTTACTCTTTGGTGGTAAAATTACCACCAACCGGAGCGTGACGCGTGTCACAGATGCCACGTGGCGTGCCAGAGGAAAATGTTTAGGGTAATTTTACCCGCCACGTGGTCCAATCAGAGGATGACGCGTGTCAGCCCCAGGATGGCCCAAGGTGGACCTATCCCTGCTTGACACGTGTCACTCCAGAAACCTGGGAGGAATGGCGACCTTCAGGCCCAAATCCCGAGAAAGCCGCGATGCGGCGCAACCCACCAATGATTAGGGTTCAGTGACCTAATCAGGGGCACAAATCCCGAGGACCCTATAAATAGGGAGATTCCCCTCTTTTGGAGGGCACGTTTTACCATTTTATTACAAACTGTCCCTGTGATAGAGACATCTGAGCTTGGAATCCGAGCAGATACCCACCTAAATTTCCGCACCTTTTTCTCTCCCTTCAAGTTACTAACTTGTTCGTCGGAGGCGGAGCACCACCCAATCGGTGTCTCCGTTTGTTTTGCAGGTACAGGTTGCACCAGGTCAGTCTTCGTGTTGTAACTCTCCCGAGGGACAAAAACACCCAAAACAACTAATATAAAAAAAAAAGAACTTTGTATCCTACGTACCCTCTTAACATCTATATCTATACTTATCCATTAAAAAGCATTCCTAAAAACGTTTATGTGCCACGTGGCACCCTCGCCATGTCATCTTTCAACTATGAGAATACTCTTATTAAAGTGTCTATCATGAGATTCGAACTTACAACCACAAAAATATGAATTAGATGTCTTACCATCTCATCCATATATTAATCATGTTTTAATACTCGACTCATAAATATATAAGTATATGGATTGGATGGAGATCTAAACATTTAATAACTGCAATTCTTTAAAAAGAAAAATTGATCCTATTATTTGCTAATTATGATCATCTTGATAATACATACAAGCAAGAAAAATTATCTATTGTTATAAATTTTAGTTATTTAATTATTTTGATAATAATTATGTCTTTATTTTCATTATATTATAAATTTTATACAAAAGGATATGTCTATCTAATGTTTTTTACAAGAACATGTTTATATAATTAGTCAATAGTTGTTCCATAAATAATTTATTCAAAGGTTTAATGAGAAACTATTATAAATTATAAACAAATTATGAATAAATAAATAATAAAGAATGAACCTATCTATTCAATTACAAGTGTTAAAAAAAATAACCCGGAGCATCGCTCGGGCCACACACTAGTTATTATATTAAATCATACTTAAACATGGAAAAATGGGTAATAGAAAGGAGAATAGTAAAGAATGTTGCACTTATGTAATTTATAGCTAACCAATTGAAATATGAGTCCTCCATATAATTTTTGTATACAAAAGTATATTGATTTTATTATAATATAGATTGTATAAATAAGCTCTCCCAAAACTCAGCGCAATGTCAAGCATTGTAATGCATTTATTTTGAAACAAAGGGATAATTATAATATTCCCTTCATTTTCTATAGTTAATTCAAATTTTATTAGGTTTGTATTAATGTGTATTTTTTCAAGCTAAGGCAAAAGCTAATAAACGTCCTGGGTCGTTGGATAAGCTAGCTAAAAGTAGAAGAATTAAACTAAAAATTAACATTAATTACACCAATCGACGCGTGATTTTGTCATGTTTTCCAAAATTAATACCACTTTAGGTAATATTTTAAATGCTTATCCAACGCCCGGGGACATTCGTTAGCAAGATCCTTTTTTCAATTATGCAATTTTTATATTCAATTCAGGATTAAAGAAATTACCTTATTTGTCTTACTCCCTATTTTCATTTCAGAGTCTTTTTGGTGCAGCGGGCCACACTGTGTGGCCTGCTGCCAAGTCAGTAAGAATAACGGATTAAGCGCGCATAACGGGGTTACTATTCACTCGCATAACGGGGTTACTGGTTTTGTCAGGGTTACTTGTATTTTTTTTTCAGGGGTTACTTGTATGGATTACTTATTCAGGGGTTACTTGTATTTTTTATTTTCAGAGGTTACTTGTATTTTTTTTTCAGGGTTTATTTGTATGGATTACTTATTCAGGGGTTACTTGTATTTTTTTTCAAGAGTTACTTGTATTTTTTTTCAGGGGTTACTTGTATTTTTTTTTCAAAATTTACTTGTATTTTTTTTTTCAGGGGTTACTTGTATTTTTTTTTTCAGGGGTTACTTGTATGGGTTGATTCAAGGTTTACTTGTATGAGTTACTTATTCAAGGGTTACTTCACTAGTAGAAAAATGCTCATTTGCGTCGCCTTATTTGCGTCACTCATAGAAACAAATGACGCAAATGAGATATTTTGACAACATTATCAGTAATTTGCGTCGGACATTTGTTACAAAGCGAAGCAAATGTCTGACATATTTCAACTTACTTATATATACGTTGCTTTTATAAATAGGAGTGGCGCAAATAACATTGTCATTTGCGTAACTTGTTTATTAACAAGCGACGCAAATAACAAGTCACTCGTTTATTGACAAGCGACGCAAATGACCACGATGGCTTACATAAATTGTCCCTGCCTTCTGCTGTTCAAACTTCAATACTTCAAAGTTCAAACCCTAGAAAATTCAACCTACCCCAAAATTTCCAGAAATTCAACATCAAAACCCCAAAACATTACAAAAATTTGACCACTAATCAATAATCCAAGCAAATGTGAGGCAAAACCCCTTATATTCGAGCAAATCCGAGCCAAAATACCATACTTTTGAGCAAAAAATCTACCCAAAACCCCCACGAAATTCAATTGCAGAAAATCGAGCAAATTACCTTAAATTTGAGCAAAATATCAATTGAAAACTCAAATCAAAAGCTAGTAATATTGTCCTAATAAAACCCTAGAATTTTTGACAAAAAAACCAAGCATAATTGTGAGGAAACTTAAGTTTGAGTTTTGAATTTTGGGTTTTTTTTTGTTCTGCGATTGCAACAGAGTTTACACACAGATCTAAGGAAGGAAGTTGGATTTTCGTTCAAATTAGGAGCAATTTGTTACGATTCTCTGAAATTAGGGTTTGTACTCAATAATATGGAATTTTGGCTCTATTATTGCTGAAGTTGCATATGCAAAATCGATTTCAAGCAAGGTAAGACCTCTTCATCTCTTTTCTTTTTTATCATGCACTTCAATCCACATAGATATTTGGAGTTCAATTGTAAATTAATTTAGTTTAATCTACTATTTTGTTGCTGTTTTTTGCACGAATTCTAGATTTCCAAGCATGTTTATAAATAACAGCTTTTTGGGGGTTCATATTCGAATTTAGGGTTCATCAAATGCAATATATATTGCCCACAAATCAAAGAAATTTAGGATTTATACTCGATTCTAAGGAATTTTGGTTCTGTTTTGGTGAATTTATGTAGTTGATTTCAACCAAGGTAAGATATGTTATGTGTTCTTACTGTTTTCTAATTTGAATTTATTCTAGTTATAAAGCCATCAAGTCACCACAATTTGTTTTCTGATTCGAAATGCCTATGCAACAACAGTAACAATGCAGGACAGTCTCTGATGTTTTACTAACTCTAGTGTATAACTTAATATGGACAATTGTTTGTGGTGGTCAAATCAGTTCCTTTTTATAATTCATATTATTTACACAAAAATTCCAAGTTATGTAAAAAATTATAGCAAAATCATCCTATCAGGACAAACCACCTAAGATAAACAGAAATATGAGCAAATCAAGATCAAGTATTTGCCAAGATAGAAATACCTTAAGAAACTTGCAGACCGGAATAGATACATTATAGATAGATAGAGACTCTAGGCACGGTGCAAGCCAAAGAAGAGCCTGAACAAGTTCAACTTGAGTATACTTTAGTAATTATGAACGAAGCTGCACCACCAAGTTTTCATACTAGATTGAATTAAGGGTTCAATTTTGGATGAACTTAGTTTAATTTTACTATTTTGTTGTATTTTGTTGATTATGTTGTTATCTTGAGGTTTGTCATAATTCATGTGGCTGTTTGAGTTGGAAGAATGGTCATTCAAGTTCTTGTGAATCTACATGGTTTTTAAAGGACAGTGGAGCCTTTCCCCTGTAGCTTTATGCTGTTAGCTGTACTGTGATGTGTGATGCTGTGATCTTCATATTATAGTGTCCAACTAGCTATATTATTGAAAACTTTTAACCACAACTGTGAAGCACAGTTCTTCCTCAATGGGTCCATCATGTTATCTATTTGGCGATAACACGCCCTTTCAAATTTAAAATTATGGTTTTTCTGGAAAGATGCTTATGTAGAAAGGTTTTTGCTAATTTTTTCATCTCTATTTTGAGTAGCTATATTTGAGGTTGAATGATGCTTGTAACATTGTCTATTTGTTTCACTTTTATGGGCATTATTATGTATAGAGTCAGATATGCATGTGCTTGGCATTCATGCTTATATTTTTGTATGTGGTTCCTTTTGAAAAGATGCATGTATTTTGTTGTCCTTACATATTAATTGTTTGCACTGTTATTTTGTTAAACAGTATATTATTTGAAATCAAAAGCAGAATCCAAAGCAGAACATATGTTTTTATACTTAATGTTGAAATCTGATGCCTTAATTTGCCATGTGTCTTTGCTTATTATTGGAAAGACCATATTACACTTCTGTAATTGGAAATTGTTAGCATCCTATTCTCGAAACTAAGGATTCATCTGATACCATCCTCCTCTAGTATACTTAATTAGAGGAACAACTATTAGTATTTTTCTTGGAAAAGTAATGTAGTTGTTTAAATAATTGTAGAATATTATTTTGTTGCTTTGATGCTTCATTCTCAACTCTGATTGTTTATTGATTCATTATATTTGATTTCAGGAGCTGGTGACTTTAAACTATTCGCAAGAGAAAAAGGAAGTGGACTTCCATTAAGGACTTGTTCGTGTTAGGGAAAATGAAGATATTGCCCCTAAATTGAATTATATTGGCTTCAAATTCCATATTATTTATTGGATTCTTTTGTTATAGTTCTTAGGCTTGAAATGAACGCATTTGGTTTACCTGGTGCTTGTGTTATTAATGATGAAGATGTCAATATTGTTCAGTTGTAAACTTATTTGACAAGCTGCTAATACAAGGCGCCGTCAATCCCAAATTAATAGGTAGGCCAAAATACAAAGGAAATTCTATCGAAATTTGTATTTGATCTTATTATTTTTATTATGATTTTTTTTTGTCTTGCACTATTGTATAATATCATATATGAAGGGATACAATTGGCAAATTATAATGTTGTTTTAATGTGGATTAAAAAAAAATTCTAAGAAGCGACACAAATAGCTCATTTTCTCTTCCTCAAACCAGTCATTTGCGTCACTCGTTTATTAAAGAAGTGACGCAAATAATAGAATATATGTTATTAAAAAGAGTCATTTGCGTCACTCGTTTATTAAAGAAGTGACACAAATAACAAATATAAGTTACTAAAAAAAGACATTTGCGTCACTCATTTAACAAACGTGTGATGCAAATAACTCTTATTTGCGTCGCTCATAGGAGCGACGCAAATGACTCAAAGTCATTTGCGTCGCGAGCAGTTGCGTCGCTCATAGAAGCGACGCAAATACAGCCTAAATGAGCGACGCAAATGAATGTTTTTGTACTAGTGCTTGTATGATTTACTTCAAAGGTTACTTGTATGAATTACTTATTCAAGGGTTACTTGTTAATTATTCAACGGTTGCTTGTAAGCCCCATACCAAACCAGTAACACCCTACAAGTAACCCTTGAGCAAAACTAGTAACACCCTACAAGCAATTCCTAACCAAACCAGTAACACCCTACAAGTACCCCTTGAGAAAAACTAGTAACACCCTACAAGTAACCACTAACCAAACCAGTAACACCCTACAAGTAACCCCTGACCAAACCAGTAACACCCTGACCAAACCAGTAACACCCTGACCAAACCAGTAACACCATACATGTAACCCTGACCAAACCAGTAACACCATACATGTAACCCTGACCAAACCAGTTTCACCTACAAGTACCCCTAACCAAACTAGTAACAATACACCCTACAACTTTTGACGTAGAATGTTCGATCTAAGATTCCACGAAGAAAACGAGCGCACATTTATTTGGTTCTCATCGATTTCACTACTTCAAATGTTGATGATCTTAAGGATAATTAATCACAATTTTTCACAGCAATTTAACACCCAATTTCTACAATTTCGGGCTTTAATTGCAGCAATTTGGTAAAGAGGAGAGAGAGAAAATGGGTGGAGTAGAGATATGGTTGTTGGTGATGTGTGGTTTGTCTTGAAGAAGAAGCTAAGAAAAGAGGAGAGAGAAAATGGATAGAGTAGAGATATGGTTATTGGTAATGTGTGGTTTGACTTGGAGAAGAAGATAAGAAAAGAAGAGAGAGAAGAGTTGTGGTATTTTTTTTTTTTTAAATGTGGCTGGCCACACCGTGTGGCCAGCCACATACAAAAATTTGTGTTTTCATTTACCATATTGAACTAATTATGTAATGGCGGATTATCTCAAAGGAAAAAAAATAAAAAGGTAATACTGACATAAACTTCTTTCGTTTTTATTTACTTACAACTCACCACTTTGGCGCGCACTTTAAGGGATAGATCATATTAGGTAAACATAAAATTGAATTGACAAAATATTACCACCGGTGAGAAAAAAAAATTGATAATTTACTATGGTTTAAATTATATAACTTATTAATTCTTATTTTTACTTAGTCTGATCACTTTCTCAAATAGTATGCCAAAAAGAAGTGTTGTAAGTATAAAAAACTAAGGGATGTGTATCTTTCAAGGAAAAAGATGTGTAACAAATATTCATGTTTAATTAGAAAAAGACTTGAATGATAATTGATAAGCATCACATTCAAAGCATACGAAGATACAATACAATCATTCCAAGGACCATGTCTTAAAAATTATATATACATCATTCCAAGGATTATGGAGATTATAATTAAATTAAATGTCGTGTTCTACCAAAATTTTAAGTTTAAATCCAGTCTTAAATGCAAACATCCAAATTCAAACCTTTTTTTTAATCATAAGAATTCATAAATTTATTAAGGCTAATGCAATATATACAATCACTACGAGAGTTGTATGTAAGCATTAAATACGTATATTTCTTATAATGTTACTCTTTATAATATAAATTTGGCAACTAATGACAAAAAAACACACATGTATTGGTGTAATTAATGCTAAGTTATACTCCCTCCGTCCTTTTTTGATAGTCCCTTATGGACAAATTTTAGTCCCAAAATGTTCACCCCATTATATTTGCTTTTTCCAACAACCATTAATATTAAAATTTTACCAAAATTCCCTCCAATTTGCAACAATATTTGTGCAAATTTAACTTTCCTACGTAAATTTTGTTTTCCCATGTAATTTTATTATTTTCTCTCTCTCTACTTTTTTGCATGCCCAATGTCAATTTACTTTTTTTCAATGTACTCTTACTATTTTTATTTGTGTTTATTAATTCCCGTGAAAAATGTCTATAAAGGACTATCAAAAGAGGACAAAGGGAGTATATATACACCCCTTAGAGCAATTCTAGCTGGCAAACTAATTGTTAAATAATTAGCTTGTCATGCTACAAAAGCTTTAATTTGAGTCCCAATGACTAGTTATTAGCTTAGTGTTTAAATTATTAATTTATTGTTTTCATCTTAATTACTAATTTACTTTTAGCATTTTCTTTTGGCAAAGCTAATTGGTTTGACCAAGCTAATTGCATATCTAGCTCCAATGATCAAGCTAGTACGTAGTTAGGGGCTATTTAAAAATTGCAAGTGAGTCCCTAACTAGCTGCAACCACTGGAGTTGCTCTTAAGAGCTTATAATTATATTTATCATTTATCATTTTTTTAAGTTGTTGGATTACTAGTAGAGTTATTAATATATAATGGATGGGGTTTAGTGGGGCGGATGTTGGAATTTCCATCCCCACGGCTTCATTTTTCAATCCTCATCCATCTCCAGCCTCGCGGCCACACTGTGAAAACATCAATATCCTCTCTCTCCCACTACCTACCAAATCCCCACCTTTCTTGCCTTCACCCACCGAATCATCAACCTAGACCCGCCTGATCCTCGCCCCAAATATGCATAAATATACTTATATGCGACAATCTTTTTAACGAGAACATGTAACAATTAAAATTCCATTTTACCAATTAAAAAATATAAAATAAACTCTGGAAAACAATTTAAAAGAGTTGTGTACTACTTTTTGTATACTTAATTTTTATTGGTTGTGTCCTTATGTGTGAATTTTGATTTTAATGTATTTAAACCTTGAGAAGTTGAGAGCACCTACCACGGTGACTAGTAGGTAATGTCAACTACAAGTTGACCTCGAGCAATCACGTTACTCATGATTCTCTTAACATATGTGAACCTTTGTCGTGCCCTGGGAATAATTGATGTAGACATTAGAGGAGTATGAATGTATAATTACTATTTCTTAATACAATTAATAGCAATAAAATTAGGTAATAAAAAAACAAATCATGTTTTCAATAAGCAGTACGAAGTATTTAATAATTGTAGTTCAAATTACAGAGCAAACTTTATTAATTATACAAAGTACTGAATTAGTATACTTTGTATATTCTCTATATTCCTTTTTTATTCTTATATTTCAACATTATTTTATGGTCACATCTAAATTTTTTTGACCATACGAACTTACTACCATAACGACAAAATTATATCATGTAGGATATTATTGAATTCGGTTAAAATATATTTTCTAAATTCTTTAGTATTATCATATTGCATGTATAAGTGGTCAAACATGTACACACAAGAGATTCTAAAATTCAAAACATAAAGAATAAAAAGGAACAGTACGGGGTAGTAATTGTATATGAGACAGAATTTTAGGTGAAGTTTATGACCTAAGAGCAAGATTAAAGAAGGAAAAAAAAAGTAGTTAGAGTAACTAGTAAGTCAAGTTAGTGGAAAATGAAGTAGCTAGAGAAGGAGAAAGGGTATATTCACATTTACTTAATTTCAGTTCAGCTCTAATCAGTTCAGTTCAGCTCCAATCAGTTCAGTTCAGTTCATCTCCCAATTTCCCTCTCTCATAAAATATTCATTTCAGTTCAGTTCAGTTCAGTTCAGCTCATTTCAGTAAATGTGAACAGACCTAAAGATGGAAAACAAAAAAACCTCAACCTTTTCCATGTAAATATTTTCAAATATAGGTACAAAAAAAAAAAAAATGTTGTCATGTAAAATATTTATGAATTTTTCTTTTTTATATTATTTTTCATATATCAATTTTCATATTTTTTTATAGCTAGTATAGGTAGTAGAAAATATTAATGGCCAAAATTGTGCATGCATTAGCACGTGTGTCAATCAAACTGTTGTGATCATTACAAAATAGAGGGAGTAGTAATATTCACCAAATTTAATTTACCCTAGTACCACATGATATAATTTAATTCGCCTAAATAACAAATTATATATGTATGTAATAATATATTTTTTTGTATCCTTATATATTTTTCCAATTAATTGTTTGTTTGTCTCATCTTATTTTAACTTATTTTTAGTAATAATAAGTTCAAATTATTTCAAATAAAATAAAATAAGTTCAGATTATACAAAGTAAAATAAAATAAAATACATTCCAATAATGAAATAAAATAAAATAAAAAATTAAAAACAAATCAAGTTCAAAATATATTCAAATAAATAAATTTGGACAAAATACAGTTAAATAAAATAATTTCAAATAAAATAAATTAATTTCAGACTAAATCAAATGAACCAAACAGAGCCTTACCATAATACAGAGTTCCATATGATATAATTTCGCTCGCATATACCAATCATGTACTCTGTCCCTTTATTTCAATGTAAATGCTCTATTTTGATTTGGCATGTAAGCTAATACAAATTTTTAATCAATAATATTTAGTTGTTGCTATGTTGGTAAGTAAAAATAATTAAAAGTTAATATTTGAAAAGTATACATTGAGACGATTCTAATAAATACCCATATGACTATATTTTATCTTAAAAAAATATAAGCCACTTACTTAAAAGTTAAATTAAAGCATTTATTTTAAAACAAATGAAGTAATAAAACACAACACCCCCCCACTCAATGGAGTATTTTTAA